GCTTTGCAATTCACACATCTCTTCCCCTGTTCACAACAAGAGCTTCTTCTCAGCCTATTAATAAAAACTGGCATCAAAAGAGAGTGGTGCTACGTGGTATAATGCAGACACTGATGCTCTCGTTGAAATTTGGGTGGAGGACGCTATCCACCATTTTTGTTTGTGTGATTCCCGCCTTGAGAGCTGTAGTATTGTGGACCAGAGATAGGAGGCGAGGAACCGTTCTAGCGGGATTTATAAACATTCGCAAGAACCAAGCTCGGCACAGTTAACTGATCCAAGCTCGGTCTGAACTCGGCACGGATCGGTTTCAGAGGAGTAGTATAAGTGGGGCAAATTACTATAATAATCATTTGCTCCTCTACTCACCATCTAAACTATCTGAATTTGAGCTATTTGAGCAAGGTTATTAATCTACAAATGTGCAAATCAGCTGAGGTTCTAAGCAGTATCAAATATGACAATGATACTTCATACAATAATGTTTTACAGTTCTAAGTGTTGATTTTTAAAAGATAAACAAAAGCTTGTGTCAATTTCACTTCAACGTAAAGCTAAATTTGAACAGATGAAGAAGCGCATCACAAAAACCTCCAACACGCCAGCAGTGAAGAGGAAGGTAGGATGAGTTGATGAGTTTCTTCAGCATCAGCTCTTCCTTATAATTGATGAAGAATTTCCAAGGGTTAGAAAAATGAAAAGCATGAAGCCTGCTTAAAAATAACTGGCTGCATTTGTGAAATACGGATTATGCCTTGGAAATAACTACAGTTAACTCAACAGCAGACATGCAGAGGAACAGAAACTCCTTTAAAAATAATCACAGCTCAGTAAAGTGCTTTGAAGAATACCAAGGGATGCTGTGAACTCAAACATTTCAGTAGTCCTCTTTTAACTTTACCAACTCTACATGTGCCACGTCCTTATAGCTTCTGGAAAATGAAGGCAAGGCTGTGCAACAAAACCACATTACTAAAAGCATCTGATAAAACCCACATTTAACACACAAAAAAAGCTCTCAGAAAGTTGTTGTCTCACAAAAACATATACATAAATAGACATAAGATCATACTGAATCCAGATGTGTGGGAAAACATCAGTCTGCTGACTAAAAGCCATGGGTTTGCTCCAGACTTCAGCAGAAAAAAACGTCTCTTAATGCTTTTGATTAGAAATCTGTAACCCGATTGTATTCGTAGCAGAGAAAACGCGTATTAATCTAACAGAAAATGAAAAAAAGTCAATTTATGTTAGGATGTAATCACATTTAAAATATCATTTTTGTACATTTTGTAAAAAATGTTTCGACCTTTTTTTTATTGCACGTTTTAATGCAAAATACTTAAGTCCCCTCCCCCCTCCTGAAGGAGATACTCTGGCTTTCTGAGCAGTGAGCCACTCTCACATAAAAGCTCAATGCTCAGATTTCAAGAGCCAGGTACAAAAATACTTCTCAGTAAAGGGCAGTGTTGTCTTCTTCTGTTTATCTGCTCAGAGGCCATGCTGGGTGATTTGGGGGCGTGAGCCTGCTAACGAGGTTTTATGAGCTGGTTTTCATTAGGATCACAATAAACAGCAGTAAAGCAGCTAGAGTCAGTGTGATGAGGAAGGAGAAGGAGTTGTCATGACGATGTCTGTCGAAAAGAACTGTCACACTGCGAAAGGATTAAATTGTTTTGGTGCCAGTGCCTTTAGACTCTGAGGTCAGTCACTCTGTAATTTAGCCAAAACGCTCTTGGGAGCCTGAAATCACTAACATTAAGCTCATGAGGTTTAAGAGGTGAACGACTTGAAATATCAAAGGATAAACACACAAAATGTCACCTTGCAAATATATTCAAACCGTTTGGACTTTTTGGCAAATTACATTTAAAAGATAAATGTGTTTTATTTGATATTTTATTTGAGTCCAAGACCACAACGTTAGTCTAAAACTCTGAGATCAAAGGATTACTATACATTGTTTATTCATTTCACATAAACACAAATCTGTAAAGTGTGGCATGTATTTGTCTAAGTGTAATCTCTCAAGTTTTCTAGGAAAATCTCAGAGGTTAATTGATAATCATCAATGAATTAGTTTTGAGTGTGCTCATGTGTGCCACTACTAACGGCATTTACACAACTATTACTGTTATATAAATGCAATAATTGCATTAATTCGCACTATATAAACACTGAATGTTGATAAAGATTCCCAAACCATTTTTCTACTACATTTCCTTTCCAAAGTTTTACCACACATATGCCTGTCCAATTATGTTGTGTGAAAACTATGACACGAGCAATTCTTGCTCATATCTTACATTTCAAGAGTCAATTATATATTTGTAGACAAACTCATTTTTTCACTTATTTGTGTATAGTTTTGGCTAATTTAATCCTATGAGTTTCCTGTTCTTTATCCAAATGACACGACTTAATGTTTGCATACTTCAGTCAACAGTTACTGAAGTGCTTAAACAGAAGTATTTCAATAATCAATCAATCATGATTATGAATTGTTTTTGGCCCAAAAACATATACAACTTTCAAACGCTTTGAATAGGACCTCCTTCCTAACGGGACCCTTGAATAAAATTCCTTAATCACAAATCATTTAATAAGCAATAGTCGTTGCTGTCAGGTTGAGGGGAGGCTTTGAGGACCCAAATGCAGAGATGAGTTTTGCTGATTTGATTAAGGAATAACAGGCAACTGAGGAAAAAATCCAGAAAAATGCAAAAATACTAAACAAAACAAACAAAAATCCAATAAACATCTGGGAAAATACAGGTGAAATACTGGGGAATCACAAACTAGCTGTGGGTCTAGATATGGCCGAGGCGTTGAGGAAGTGGGGGCGAGTTTGTGTGACAACCGAGGGACATGAGGGTGAAAAAGGGCGGGGATCCAGGTGGAAAAGGGTCCCAGCATTCTTGCGCACCTCGCTCTTCTAGCTGGTCCAACTTCTTGAGTCGTTTTCCGCAATCGCGTTCATACAAAGAAAAACAAGCCAGTAAGGTACCAAATATGAGAAGCATAGTGTAGAGCGGGGCGGGGACCTCTCTGTGTTCACCGCGACACCTACGCAGACGACCTACTTTCGAAATATAAATCGGCCTTTAAGGTACCAAACAGATACGCATAGTGTAGAGCGGATGTAGATTTGACAGATCCGAGGCCTCCTGGCTGCGATCACCTACAATTTTGGAGAAGTGCAGCAGACTGTCTGCGGAGTGCGGAGGGGGCAGGGGCATGTCTGTGTTAACTGCGACACACATGCAGACGACCTGGTTTCTGAGCATAAACCAGCCTTAACTAGACGGGAGCCAAGGGTAAAGGAAACAGGCACAAGGGGGCAGCAGAGAGAAACTTAAGAAATACCAAACTGACAGAAAACAAAGATACAGAATATAACAAAGAAACTAAAATGAACTAAAACAAAGGGCAGAACCCTGACAGTTCTAACCTAACAAAACAGAAAAAAGTTCAAAAATTGTGAATATACTTGCAAGACGCCGCAATTAAATGTTAGTTTCTGTCTCTTTTTTTTTTTTTTGTTATTGTTTCCTAAATATTTCTGTAGATATTGTTGAACAAAAAGTCAACTAGAATAAATGCTACCAACAACCAAATTGTAATATACAACACAAAAAACACGCAAAAAAAAATTGTAGCACGTGCTTAATTATACGTGTAATAACGCGAGATTTTACATCCAGGCTAAAATATAAATGAAATACAGTATGGTTTGTTTATTTAACATTATGAACACAATGTTGTTGCTATAGTTGGGTTAACAGACTCACCCTGAAGGAGGTTTGGAAGATTCTGTCATGACGCTGATATTATTCCCTCCAGGGAAGAAAGACTTTAAAAAATCCCCTCCACAGTTTAAAGACGCTCCAAATCCATCACAGCATCACCTGGACGGTGCGGAGAAACACCACAGCCAGTTAGTTTTATATGCCTTGCTCTCTTTAAACGGTCCCTCCACAAGAAGTGTAATTTCTTAAGTGAATATCTACAAGCAAGAAGCGCTGGAGTTGATAAAAGTTCACTTTGACCAGAAGCGCTCAGTTTGATGCTTTTAGTTACAGCTCAGTTAAACTCGCTTCAGCAATAAAACAAAAAGTCTTTTCTATTGGCTTTATTACTTGTCAAATCCACTTGATATAATCCGCTTCCCCCAGTGGCTGAATAACCTCTAAAACGTCAAGGTGCAGCAATATATTCAGTTACAAAACTACTTCCGGGAAGGACCTTCAAAATAAAACTCCAACAACGCTTCGTTTTGTTTTCACTGTGGTAAAAATCCATTATCCATTTTTCTGTAGGTTTGCAGGAGGGTGGTAGAGTGTCTGTAGGCTTATGAGGAGAGGGGAAGGGTACTTCACAGGACAAAGACAAACCCAAAAACTCAGTTCTGTTAGATCAGCATACCTGTAGTCAATGCGCAAGACTTCAGATTTAAGTTTATCCCTTTAGTTTTGTACGAAAAATAGACTTTAACCTCTCAAAAGGTGTTTACATATAATAACTCAGAATGCATGAAAATTACACTGGTAAAATGTTTGCCAATATAGACATGTTAGATGTTGTTGGAAAGCTTAGATTCTCCACAATTCAACCATTGAGTTTATTTTGATGTTGGAGATTGGCCTGTTTTTCGAGTGCAGTCCTGTTTCTCTGACTGTGACTGGCTGGATGTGCTCTCTTCATCCTCTGACATGGGAGTTGGCTCAGAGCTTGTCTGCCTGGCTGTGTGTTTCTATGGAAGCTCATTGGTAGAATTCCCTTATGACATAAAAAGGCCACGATTCCCACCATCTATCATCCGGATGGGGGGACACATTTAATTACAAAACCGAATTCATACAGCTGTCTTAAACACTTCATACATCCAGCAACAAGTCGTCAAAAAGTCTGTTATCCCCCAACCTTCAGTCCATCTGAACCA